ATCCCACTTAGCAGGGGATAGGGATTCCCACTGGCTACACCCGTCTGGGAAAAACACTGAAGAAAACCTTTAAGCCCACAAAACCCTTCAGAACCACAAGATCCTGGACACTCTGCCCCTCACTGAAGCTGCTCCTGCAGCCCTGGACACTGAGCTGTGACCCTCAGGGACAGTGGTGTCAGTGCCCAGCTGTGGCCACAGCAGCACAGGCAGGAGGGACCTGTGGCTCTCCCAGCTGCTGGGGCTGCTCTGCTTTGGGCTGCAGCCCTGGGCTCTATCCCTGACCACCTCCATCATTCCCTCAGTCATTGCCATGGAATATTCTGAGCTGGAGGGACCTCACTAAGATCATTGGGTGGTGCTGCACTCAATTTTACTCCTTTAGAATAAAGCTGCAAGGTCCATGTGTCTCTAACAGGACATAGGCTGTGGGATAAAAATGTTTTGAATCTTCAAAGGAGGGAAAACTCCTGATGGCCAAGAAAATGAAGTTCCCATTTGTCCTAGCAAGGTGAGGCACTGACAGCTGAAGGGGACCAGGTAAATGTCACCTCTGAGTGGACCTGTGTGAAAAGGTTCTCACAGGTTGTTCCTCAGGAGGAAGCTGCTGTGGCATGAGTGAGAATGTATTTTGAAGTTTCTCCCTGCCTCTTCCTAAGGGCCCAAGGCTACTGGGATCCTCAGCCAGCTGCCAGCATCTCCTGCTTCCCCCAAAAAACCTTTCTGAAGGGTAGAGAGAAAATTTAATAACTTATGATAGACAAAGCCATTCTCACAGTTGCCAAATCATCTGCTCAGAGACACGGGAATGCTGAATGGGGAGTGGCCTGGTGACAGTCACAGCTATGGGCAGTGACTCATTAGTACCAGATGATGAGAGGAGCGAGGCTGAAATTTTTTACTCCCTGTTTACCCAATCACCCCAAACCTCACTCCTTTCTCCAGGCTGGTGACACACCAGAGGTTTTCAAGACTTCTTGGGGAATGCTGCCCATGGAAGAGGAGAGCTTTTGGTGTTTCTTCGCAGTTCATGGGTGAAAATGTCTCTCTGATTTTGTTCATCAGCCCCTGCATGTGTATTATGTCCTGGGAGTGATTTCTAGTTGTTTCCTAGGACACAATAACTCTGTTGGCCTGCACTGACACAGCTCTGGATGGGCTGGAATTCCAGCTAAATTCTCCCAGAACAGTCACGACAAAGGTCTGGACCCACCCATCAATCCCCACACACGGCATGTCCTTCATACCCAACCCCAATGACTCGGACATGTCCTGCCATCCAGGGCATTATCCATGCCATCAGGGTATTTGGGATTAAAAAAACAACTGGAGGGGTTTTTGGTGTCACCACCACCTCTTTTGCTTGGCCTTGGCACATCCCACGGGGCTGGGAACGGCCCTGGCCCTGCTGCCCATGCCACTGCTGCTGGGTCAGGAGCAGCAGCTCGGTGTCCATGGCCCCACCACTGCTCCCCATCTCCTCCTTCTCTTCCAGCAGCAGTAACCAGACAACCAAAGTGTTGGACACGTCTCTGAGGGAGCTTTGTTGGCCTGAGCTCCTCCTGTCAGCACTCACAGGCAGCATTTCGCTGACCTTTTCCCATCTGTGCCCCATTTGTTCCCTCGCACGGCTGTAATAGGATGGGAGCATGTGAAGAAGGGTTGGACCTGTGTCAAAATACCTCCCCTTCTCACTGGAGGTTACATCCACAGTCTGAGCCACCCCTGGACCTCACTCAGAGCTGCCTGGGCAGGGACAAGGCGATGTCAGGGAGTTTCCAACAACCCAGCTGGGCTGAAAACCCCTCTTGGCTTCTCCATCCTGCCATCACCAGCAGGTCTGGACCCCAAGCTCTGGGTGTGCAGCACAGGCACCTTCCCTTTGCTGTGCACCCTGTGCCCAGAGCTGGGGCAGGACCCCCCTGCAGAGTTCCAGGGCTGCACTTGGGCTCTCCTCTCTCTGGACAAGGTGAAAGACCCCATCCTTCCCTGGCCCCACAATAAAACACAACCACAAATCCTCAGCAGCTCCATCCTTTGCCTTTATCCCCTGCAGTGTCACTGCTGCTGGGCTCCCGGCATTGTCTGGCTGCACCACGGAGCAGCAGGATTGTTCCAGTCAACCCCAAACCCATTTAGAGGGTGATCAGAGCCTGTTCTCCTCACACTTCTTTTCCTTGGGCACACCCAGACACTTCCTCCCCACCACAGGAATAAATATTTTTCTCGTTTCTGTCCCACAACAGAAAGGATCTGTTCTGATGTTGCTGCCAAAACATTCCCTATCCAGCAGGAAAACACCCAGGAAGGTTGTGCAAGCAGGACAGGGCACTGCCTGTCAGCATCCTTGGGCCCTGCCACATGAACAGTCCCCCCGAAGGTCTCAAATTTACCAGAGATGGGTTTAGCTGTGGGTAAGGAAACCCAGCTGTGCCTCAGTCCAGCCTGGCCTGTGCAGGACACCAGCACAGGGGACCAGGCTGATGCTGAGCCCCATCTTTGCTTCCCTTGCCCCATTTTGGGTGTGCTGAACCCTGCAAGTGGGGCTCATCCCCCAAAGCCTGCTCTGTGTCTGCCTAAAGATCAGATGATCAGGAAGACAATCGGAAAATGATGTTTTTTAAGAGCACAGATCACACCATGCCAGAGCCCCCTACATAAACCTCATCTTCACACAGCAGATATTGAAAGCCTTCAGCAGGACCAAAGGAGACCTTTAATTTGTGTGCTCTGGGACCATTGTCTGTGCCTGAGCAGCCAGGCAGCCCTGGTCCAGGTATTTCTGCCCTTCTGCTCCTTCAGCCTTCAAGAAACCTCCAAAACCCCACAGCATTTGCAACCTCAGCCCAACATGGGGCACCTCCTCATGTCCCTCCAAAGCAGCAGAGACTCCCTGGCACTTTGGTCTTGCCAGAATCTACAAAAATATGCAAAACCTGGATCTGTGGATGAAATTCTGTGGAGAGTGTGTTTGACTCCCTCCTTTCCCAGGGATGCTGCTTGCCATGCCCCTGGTGTCTGTGTCCTACATCCTCTGTATTGTTCCTCTGGGGTGAGCTCAGAGGGCTTTGGGAGAAGGGATTGGGGCAGACACCTGTCTGCAGTGTTTGCTCCTGGAAATAGGCACTGAAGACATTTTGCTCACAGGGACATTTTTGCTTCACAGGGGAAGTCGAGACCTTTTCGGTCAAGAAGCTTTCGGTTCCTCGCTCTGAGAGTTGAAACCCTCCTTGATTTGGGCATTAAATCCTGATTTATATCAAAGCCTGGGGCAGGTCAGGGGCGGGTGGGATGCTGAATGCTGATGTCACAGCGAGGGGTCCCTGCTCCTGCCTTCAGATCCAGCCCTGGCATCCTGACCTGTCCCACCGCCCGCCCTGTGCCTGCACAGCGCTGCCCAGATGGGGGAAAAAGGGATGGAAGGAATCAAAGTGCTGCTGTCTGTATTTCAGGAGCCTCCCCTGCCCCAGGCTGAGGGCCTGAAGTTCGGCAGCCACGCTCAGGGCGAGGAAATAATTTAATTCTCCAGGAAAACCTGCTGTGATTTAGCCATTTCATGAACCTGCGGAGCTTTGAAACGCTTCCTGAGCGGGGACTTCTCATTGTATTCTCAGTCTTTCTCCTCTGGAATGGCACATTCTCATTCCCAAAGTCCACGGTAATAAATGGATTATTACAAAAAAAAATATTCATCTTTTCCCTTCAGAATTCTAAATATTCCCAGACATGGCAGTCCATTCCCAAGTTCACTCCCACCTACTTCTTGCCATCTCCATGTTGGCACTGAAAGGATCTAATTCAGTAATAAAAAAGAGAGACTTTTCTGGAAAGGCGAAAATAACCCAAGAATCTCAGTAGCACCAAATTCCACCATCTCCCTCTTTTCCCTATGGATCATCAGGCTCACAGCCCCTACCTGGCACATACAGAAACTTAACAAGAGATATTCCAGCAAGAAATCCTATAGAAAGACAGAAATAAACTGAAATATTCAGTTATGCAACTCGCTGTCTGCTGGATTTAAATGACCTGGAATATTTAATTCTATATTTCTTCTTCTAAAGGGTTTCCAATTGCATTTTGTTACTGTATTCATTTATATAGTGTTAGATTTATTTTTAAAATAAGTAACTCAGGTTACTTATCAGCCTCATTATAAGATACAACCAATCCTTTTAAAATTTCTTTTTCTCTTTGGTGCTAGGAAATTAGTGACATTTCCATAATTAAAATGAACAAAATCCACCTTTGAGCAATTTTAGTAATGAATGTTTTCTCAGGTGCCATTTGCGTTATTTGCCGGACTAAATTCACATGACAGAATACAACAAAAGAAGGGAAAGAAGTCCAAAAAAACACGGCAACCAAACAGAAAATAAAATTAAATTCTTTTTTAAAGGATCAATTGCAGTTTCATGGAAAGGAAGAAAATCCCTGTGGCAGAGTCATACAAGAGACAAAATTCCCATTGCACAAGGAAATAAAACGGCATCCTTTCACATCTGAACCAAGAGCCCATTGCTACAGTGCCGAAAATGGAGAAATTAAGAGTGGTGGGGAAGCCTCCATTTGCGCAAAGGGAAACCCAGGCATGGCCCTTTCAAAATAACCCCCAAACTTTTCACTGATTTCATTAATTACAGGTCAAATCTGAAGAAATTACGCTTAGGCTCCACCATGCAGCCATGGGCAGCTCGGCAGGGCGAGGGGTGAAAAGGAAGGAACACACAGCTCCCATGGCTAATAATTAATGAATTCATTAATCAATCATAGGGAGAGGAAGGGCGAGGGGAGGAAGGAATCTTACCACCAAATTGGGTAACCGGCTAAGACCTTTGTGCCATTGAAGAGAAAAGACAGAATTAGTCCAAGCAGGTGGTAATCCATTAGTCCAGGCTGGTGCAAGGGGAAAATCGCCGCGAAGTTTTCAGAAAAACATGAAGTGCCAAAATGAAGAATCCCCCTCCTCCCAGGAAAAAAAAAAAAAAAAAAAAAAAAAAAAAAAAAAAGGAAAAAAAAAAAAAAGGGGGGGAAAAAAGAGTGAAGCCAAGTCCCTCGTGGCTCGGATGACTTTCTGGCTTGTCAGAAACACACCTCTCCAAGCCTTTCCCCCGTAGATCATCCAAAAGCGTCTATTAAAAAGTGCAGGGCTCGGGGATGTCAGCAGGCGGCCAATCAGACCGCATGGCCCAAGGTGAGGGATGAGGCTCAGCCCAGGGCTGTCAATCACCCTCTCCTCCCCCTCCACCCCACAACTTTGTTCCGAGCTCTCGCTGCCACGGACAAACCCTCTGTGCACCACACTCCACTGGGGCACCGCGATCTGGGGGGAGGATTTTTTATTTGAATTTTTTAATATTTTTTTTCCCCCCCAATTTCACTTGGAGCCCAGGATGTGCTGCCCCTGAATGTCAGGACTCGCAAGGTAAGGATGAAGGGTGGCTGTGGGGAGGGGTGGATGTGATTGAGCTTAATCTCACAGTGGGAGTGAGACAGAACTTGTTCCTCAGATGGACAGGGATGGGGGCACCAAGGGGCAGAAAACACTCTGGATGTGGTGGTGTGGGCAAAACTGGTGGTAAAGTTGAAATGAGACCTGCAGTGCCCAGGTTTTCAGTGTGGGGGGGTGATGGATGGAGGGGGGAGCAGTGGCAGCCTGGGTTTCTATTGAGAAAAAAATGCCATGTCATGGTGAGAGGGGAGCAGGCAGATGGGGACGTGTCCCACCAATGGATTGCTTGTGAAGTGCATCTCTGGATGCAGGAAGATGAAAACATTATCAAACCCCTACACATGTAACAAAAACCCACCCTAATCCGTTTCATGGTTTGCAAATAGACCCAACACAGATTTTCCTTAATAATACGTGTTATTGGACAGAGAGCCTGTTGTAACAGGAGCTATTGTGCAGTCAGAGGGGATGACTCGACAGAATGGGACAAAGAAATGGGAGAAGGCAAACAAGTTGATTTTTCTCCTAAAGCATCGCAGCAACCACAGCTCTGTTGTTACTGTGGGGTGGCCCAAGGTGGAACCACCTCAAGATCAGGTGCTTCAGGAGCAGCCAACAAATCAGTTTATTTCAGAGCCATGGCAGTAATGGAGATTTAAGGTCCTGTCTTGGGCAGCTCAATGTATCTCATGGTTTTGAAAGCTCTAGACCTTCTCCTGATCTTAAGGCTCTGGGCAGAAACAAATTCCTCATTGTTGTTTGATTGTACAGTGGCACAGGGAAGCTGTGGCTGCCCCTGGATCCCTGGAAGTGTCCAAGGCCAGCTTGGATGGGGCTTGGAGCTGCCTGGGGTAGTGGAAGGTGTCCCTGCCATGGCAGGACGTGGAATGAGATGGGCTTTAAGGTTCCTTCCAACCCAAACCATTCCATGATCCCTTGATGCACCTGCCCCTTGCTTCTGCTGTTCTTGACTGCCAGTTCTCCCTGATTGTGCCGTGTTTGGATGCTGAGTCGGGGCAGTGCTGCTCTCAGAAGGGCTGGTTGCTGTCCTGGCCATCACACACCCAAGGGAGGGCACTCAGCAGCTGCTCACACCTCCCCTCTCCATCACTCCCTGCACCTGCTGTGGGGACTTGTGAGGCCAAATTTCTCCAGGTTTACTCTGATGAGTTCTCCAGCTGACTATGACCCACCATAGGTATTAAATATTCTCGTTCTCTTGTGGGATTTTTGAATCCCAAAGGAGATGTTGGGTGTTGTCTGTCCTGGAAAATCTTCCTGGAACCCTGATGGGTTTTATTGATCTCAGTTGCCTGGGTCTAAGAAAGCAGCAATTGTCAAATGACATTTTGGGACACATGGATTTAATCTGCTCCAGTAAATTAAATCCCACTTGGAAATGTTCCCAAGATCTTGAAATTTATAGCCCGTGTTTTTAACCACGAAGATGGACCCTGGTGTGGAGCTGGCCTGGCCAATTTACCCATCCCTGAAGAGATTTTAGTCACAGTTTGGGGTTAGTGTGGGACAGGAACTATTCCACATAGACCCTTAATATATGACCCACCTATTCTGGAGCTTAAGGGAGTTTTTCAGGATGGATGAGGTGCCCTGACTGTCTCATTCCAGGGCCAGGGGATGGTCCCAGGCACTCTTCTCTTACTGCCCTGGGCTGTCTGAAATGCACTGAAGTGCCTTGAGCTGCTCTGGTGAAAGCAGAACTGGAAGTGCTGCCCAGGTTTGTATTGGTGGATGTTCTGAAGCTGCACAAACTTAATAAGGATTAAAAGTACCAAGGGACAGAATTTCTGTCACTAAAGTGTCACTGTTATAGAGGCAGCAAAAGGAGAGACTGAAGTGAGATATCTCAGGTGATAGTGTAGGTGGCTGAGCCCATGGGAGATGACACTCAGACACTGTAGAAATCTAGCTGGGGGAAGCTTTTGAAATCTGCATTGAGTTGTTGTTGGTTGGAGACCATCATCAAGGTCTTGGTGGACCTGGCAGTGCTGGGTTAATGGTTGAGCTTGATGATCTTAAAGGTTTTTTCCAACCTTAATGATTCTATGGTGGCTGAGATGTTCCTGTCCATCAGACATTGGGGAATACAAAAAGCTCTTTATTAATATCTGGGTGCTGGGATTTATGTAGCCAACACTGAACTACAAAGTGCTTGCTCTGCAGGAACCAGGTGGAAAAGTGACCCCAGACCCAAATTCAGAGGCTTTACATGTAGTTGTGGTCGGGCAGAGATCTCAGTGTGCCTCGGGAAGGGCTGTGTTACAGCAAGAGCAGAGGTACAAAGCTCCCACACACCAAACTGACATGGCCACAGGCAGGTTCACAAAGATGCACAGTAAAGGGCTGATCCCAAGCACACTGAATTCATGGGAGTGTTCTCCATGGCTCCAGCAGGTGTCTGAGGAAGTCTCTGGAGGTCCTCATCCCCCCACTCTTTATCTTCTCCATTCTACTGCTCTCTGAACATGTCTGTCCTGGCATCATAAGGAATTTGTGCTGTCCCACGTTTTGTGAGGAGACTGTGTTTGGGGTGTGTCTGTAATTGCTTTGGATTGGAGATCCTGGGAGCAGAAGGTCCTGCCTGTCCCTAACCTAACTACAAGAGACTCTTGGCTCCAAGTTTCTCCCAGTGAAATGAGCAGAAAAATGAGAAGAAAAACAATGGCAGTTCTAAGTTTTGTCTTTGGTTATATCAGCCTTGATCCCCAAAGCCTTGAGACGGCAGGCAGAGCTCCCCAGGGAGCAGGACCTGTCTCCCAGGGATGAAGACTCCATTGTCTGTGAAGGGAACAGACTCACTTTGAGTCTTCTCTGATGTGAAATGAAAATCTGATGCGTACATGCTAAAATTATCCTGGGCATATTTCATGCTAGCCTGAACAAATATTTATAAGTTCTACAGCAAACATTAATTTTAAATGTAATTTCTAAGAGCAAATGACAGTTACCCAAAAGAGTACAATTTCAAAATTTCACTCATAGATACCTCCTTGTGCTGCTGAGTGACAGTTTTATTAACTGAGGGTCTTTTCAATCACATCACTCTGTCTAGTTTGGCAATATTGACTCTCATAGCCCAGTTTCAATATGCCCAGAAATGAAAGGAATTGAGGAAGTCAGAGGTTTGGCTGCTCAAGAAAAGTCCTGCTGCCTTTACAATGTCAGTACAGAGGTCCTTGTGTGTTGTGGGACATTGTGGCACTGCAAACTCAGCTGCTGGAGGTGCCGAGGCATCCAAAGGGATCCTTTGGTTTATTCCAACACTGCTCCAGCAAAGGAGCGTTGTGATCACATTGGAAACGTGCCACTCCTTCCCCTCGGGCTCTAACTGTGCAACTTTGCCTCCTTTTAGCTTTTCTTCCTTTCTCCATCTGAATGTACCAGCAGGAAGAAACCAAGTGCCTGAGGAAGGGGATGGGATCCTGGAGTCTCCTGGATTTGTGCTCAGCATGGATCTCAAGGTGTGGAACCGTGTGTGATGCTCCGGGAGCTCAGAGCCCTCCTGGTGGAGTCACCCCAGGGTCAGGGTGATGTGAAGAGGACAACCCACACCTCCCAGCCAAGGGCAGAGATGGATGACTGGGATGAGCTCTCAGAGGGGGTTTGGACCCCTGGCTCAGAGTTTTGGGGATGGCAGGGGACGTACAAGGCCTGTGGTGCAGCACTAAGCAATGACAGGGTCAGAGGGCTTGACCTGCAGGTCCACCCCAGGGCACAGGTAAAGGGTGGCAGAAGTGGGTGCTAAGGTTGAATTTCACTTCTGAGCATGACCAGGAGCAGGAATTGGAGGTGGATCTCTTGGACAATGGTCTTTTAAGGGTTAGCAAGTCCTAAAACAAGCTGGGTTTGTTGGTTAAATTTTGTTGTTAGAGTCTAACGTGGAGGTAAAACAGGACATTAGGACTCCGATGGCTCATCAATACTAAAGGAAATAATTATAGGAAATCTGTAAAGAGCTGAGGAAATCCTTCCTCAAAGCCTGATGAACTGTCTGACTCCTTCCATCTTAAACTGCTGAAATCCTGAGTATTTCTGAGGGCTCTGTCTGCTGCTAACCTGTGGCAGGTAACATTAACAATCCCTCTAAACTTCTCTGTTCCTCATTTTTCTTGGCCTAACCTCTCTCCTGGATCCTTGTGTTCCCTCTGGCTCTGCTCCTGAGCTGTTCCTGGCTCCTCACCTCTGGTGGGAATGCTGTGAGTTTGTGTTACCTGGGCTCACCCAGGTGGTGTTACCTGGACAGAGCCATCCTGTGCTAGCACCTCTGAGCTTAGCAAAACCCTTTGCCATTGCTTTTACTGTTTCAGCAATAACTTTATGGCTTTTTATTCCCCTGCAAATAGCATTTACCTCACTCCATTTATTTACAAGCTATTCTAAGCTGATGATGTAGAATTCCTCCACTTGGGATGTTTTTTGTCTACCACTGATGGCAGAAACTCTTTTCAGCCAATTTCCTGCAATATCCAATGGCCAAGGCCCTGAGATTTCTGGTTTCCTTTAAAAAGGAAAAACAAAAGATATATTTTTGTTGAAAATTTTATTGTTTTTTTAGGAAAACAAAAGATATATTTTTATTAAAACTGAAAGGTTGCATTTTAAAACATTTGCAGTGTAACCTGCTGTAGTACCTGTTCTCAGATCCAAATCAAGAAATTTGTGTTGTGTTCTTACCTTTCCCAAGAGCTCCTCACACACGATTTTGCTGGCCCAGGTCCTTTATCTGTGCCTGGATTTCTTGTAAACCTGGGGAAACCACATTTTCTGTGTGTATCCCATTAGCTCCTCCAGGAAGGAGCTGCCTCCCCCTCTGTGCAGCCCTGAGCTAGAAGAAGGGACAGCTGTGAATCACAGCCTTGATAAATATTGAGCAGATGAACAGAGGAACAGAACTGGAATCCCAGATTTCATATCTGAAGGGCAGAAAAAGGAGAAATTATGCTGCCTGAGGTTCAGTTCTCCTCCTTTCTAGTCACAAATATCCTCTGTGGCCAGGGGATCACAGGAAATGAGTGAAGGGGAAATGCTGGCTCCTCCAGCACTGCCAGAATTCCTCTAAGGACACTTCACCTCAGTGCCTGGGTGCCCATGAACTGGAGCAGCTACAAACTGTCAATAAAAACATCTTTATTTCACTGTCATCTACTTCAATTCCTTCTGCACCTCACACTTCAAACTCCATTAGATTTTCAGATCTTTCCTCTATTTTGTCAAGGAGATGTTCAGGAAAAAAACCCAAAACCCTAATGAAGGCCTAACACACGGGTTTTAGTGGCTATGGCAACGTGGAGCACAGGGAGTGAGCTACAAAACCCATCTCAAACTTCAGGAAATATAAAGACCTTGTTAAGTTGGACTGGCACAGATTTGCCTGAAATAGTGTTGGCACCACGTGGGGTCACTGCTCTGGGCTTACAGAGCTTGGGATGCAGCTTTAAAGTGTTCTCTGTTCACCTTCTGCTCTTCTGCCCATGTCATCCCTGCTCTCTTCTGAAGGGAAATCTGTCTGACCCAGGACACTTTTCCATCAGCCATCAGCTTTTACTGGGAAAATTATTTCCAGATGCCATTTAGGGCTCTGTTCAGTCTTCACCTGAGCCACTTAGGGCAAGCTAAGGCCTGTGGAAAAGGTCTCAGAAGGTTTTCCTGCACAAAAATGTGGTTTTTTCATAGATTTGAAGCAGTAGCCATGTCTGAATTCCTGCTGGGAATTAGTAGGGGAGGCATGAGTGGGATGGGTGAGTCTGCCAGCGTGTGTGTGAGGGGTCTGTGGGTGAATGGGAGGGAGCAGGGCTGGGTGAGGGTGGGTGAGGATGTGCCAGAGGTGTACCAGGTCTGGCTGCTGGTGGAGCAGCCTCAGGGGTCTCCTGGGAACAACTCCACTACCCAAAGCACTGTAAGGATGTCCCTGGTGTACCTGTGAAGCTGGAATGAAGTTTTCACCTCATGTTTGGGGCAGCCTGGATCCACGGGAGAGGCTGAGCCGCCTCTCAGGGCTGCAGTAAATCTGACTAATTGGACGAGCTGAGCACATGAAGAAACTACGCCCCAGGTCCTGGGCTTGTTTAAGGCAGCTCTGTCTACCTTGACATCTGCAGGAATGCATCCCAGGGATGGGGGAGGGATGGAGAGCAGAGGGAACAATCATTCCTCTCCTTCCTTCTTTGCTTCTGCAGGACTCCAGCCCAGCAGTATCCTGGAGATTGGTAAAAGAATGAGAACAGCTATTTTTTGCTGCAGGCTGTGATTTTCCACGAGGTTGTAGCTGGAAATCGTGGGGCCCTGTGATGTGGGGGAGTGCCTGTGCTGCTGGAGGAGATTCGTGGGTTTCCATCAATGCTGTGCTTTCCCTGGGCTGTGGCTGGCTGTGAGTGCCCTGGAGCTCTGCAAGGATTGGGGACCTTCTCCTCGCTGAGCTGCTGTGCCCACAGAAAATGTTTCCATCTGGAATCACGGGATGAGACTCAAAGAATGTCCTGAGCTGGAAAGGACCCACAGAGATCATCCAGTCCAACTCCTGGCCCTGCACAGACACCCCAGCAATCCCAGCCTGGCCATCCCTGGAGCTCTGTCCAAGCTCTCCTGGAGCTCTGGCAGCCTTGGGGCCGGGACCATTCCCTGGGGAGCCTGGGCAGTGCCAGCACCTCTGGGGGAAGAACCTTGCCCTGATCTCCTCCCAGATTCCCCTGGAACAGCTCCAGCCATTCCCTGGGCCCTGTCCCTGGTCACAGAGAGCAGAGATGGAGCCTCCCCCCAAGAGCCCAGATCTGCTCCCAGCCCTGGCCATGGCCCTGGGGAGGTGCCACAGCCCAGCACAGGCAGCACAGCACAGGAGGAGCTCTCACCCACGGGGTTTGCTTTTGTCCCTGGCTCCAAGTCACTGCACTCCTCATGCCATGGGTGCTGATGTTGATGCAGATCACAGATCTTGCACCCTGGGCTGTCCCCTGCTCTCCCAGAGGTGTGAGGTGCTGGATCTGGCACTGCTGTCCCTGGCCAGGACTGGCTGTGCCAGGGCAGGGGCTCTGCAGGTCCCCAAGAGCCCCTTCACAGCCCTTCTGTGCCAGCACTTGGTGCAAGGGGGCTCTGTAGAGCAGGGGTACCAGGGCTGGACCGTGCCATGACCCTCCTGACACTGCCCAGCCTGGAGGGACCAGAGAATCCCCGTTTTTGTCTGAGCACTCTGAGGATGTTGGGCTGATCTGGAAGAAGCTAAAATACCAGGCAGGAAAAATACCCTGATGTGAAGCTGGGCTGGGCTTTACTGAGCCGGGGCTGAGTTTGGACTGGGCTTTGCTGGGCTGGGGCTGAACTTTGCTGGTGCAGGGGATGAGAAAAGGCGAGGGCAGCTGGCTGGAGGCAGGCAGGAGGTCTGGAGCGGTGCCTGAGGAGCAGCCTGGTGGGGATTCAATCCGGGAAGTTTTAATGACACAACAACAACAACAACAAAAGAGGAAAGAGGGGAAAGGAAGAAAAGGCTCCTGCAGGGCTGGTTGCCACGGAGACCCCAAGGAAGTTTGAACCAGTCCTGCTCTTTTCACAGCCGCCTTTGAGCCAAGGAGGGAATTATGGCTGGCGATAAAAGGGGACATGTGGCCCTTTGCTCACAGGGACCGGCCTCTGCAGTTACGAGCCTTCAGCTCATTTTCTCTCTTGTCCCCTCCTGCAATTATACATTCGGATCTCAGGAAAAAAAAAAAAAAAGGGGAAAAAAAAATCCAGGACAAGTTGTGCATCCTTTGCCCTGGGGACCCATCCCCACAGGGCAGATCCCTGCCTCTTCCAGCCCATTATTCCCCCAGCACAAGCCTCCTCTCCTGCTTCCTCTGCACTTAGGGAATGTTTCTGTGCTCAGAGCAGACAAACAGCTCACACTGCCTGTCCTCACACCAGCCCTGGCTCCCAGGCAGCCTCCAGGAGGGAGGAGGATGAAGGCCTCTGCCAGGAAAGCTGGACACAGTTTTCTTGCTTGTCACAGCTCTTGGTTTTCGAGAGGGATCTGGCTGACCAAGTGCCAGGAATTGAGGTGAAAGGGATAAATTCAGCTCTGTGATGCCTCCTCCGATTTCTCCAGTGGCAGTTGCATAACTCAAGCCCCGAAGTTGTGCTGTAGAGCTCAGATTGTGCTCTTGGGTCTTCCTCCCCTCGGGGTTAGAGCTGGGTGCTTGCACTCCCAGCCCACAGGGGATGTGCTGCAGCAAGTCCTGCTCAGGCCCAGGGGTGTCACACGAAGGACAAACAGCAAAGGGAAGGTGCCAGCAAGGGAAATGATCTCCTGCAGGGGTAGGACAGCACCAGGAGCACTGCACAGCACAGCTGGGCTCAGCTGGGTCAGCAGAGCCCAATCCTCCCTTCTCATGGATCCTTGGGGTGGACCTTTGGTGCTGGGAGGGTTGTGGTGAGCTGTGAAGAGCACAGCTGGGACACGGGGTGGTGACTGAGGCTGGGACCTGCTCCCCCTCCTCAGGACTTTGCTCCAGAGCCCCTTTCCCTCTCTGGAGCTGATCTGAGGTGTTGGATGCTGTGCCCTGCATGTGGCAGAGGGACAGAGGGAAGGGCCAGGCCAGGGTCCTGCTCTGGCTCTCACCCTGCAGCCTTTCTGCTGCTGAGAGCAGGGCCAGGCACCGAGCGGGGCTGGAGGGTCCAAGTGCCAACATAGGGTATGACTGTGCAGATCTCAGTTTGTTCCTGTCAGCTTCTTGGGTTTCTTTTTAAACCCAGAACTGTGTTTGAAGGGGTGTTATTACCCAGAGAGTCTGTGGGATCTCCATCCTTGGAGGTTCTGGAGACTCGGGCAGCCAAAACCGTGGGGACCTTCCAGCA